TTCTTACCTTTTGTGGATAGATTTGAAAGAGATTTCTGCCACTAACTTTCATGTAAATGTACATTTGAAGTAGATGTGAAGTGACAGAAAGGTCTCCATCCTTGAAAAGTCAGCATCCTCTGTTCTATCAGGACAGTGGACCCCTGAGTGTTTGTGATCCATTCCACAGACACAGCAGCAAGCACATGAATCCAGGGCCCTTTCCCTGTGTGGACAGCTAGGACCAGGAGTGTCCCATCTGGTCACCGTTTTCTTCAATATGTTTCACATGGATGGAATTTGATTTTACAACCTGAGAAAGACTGATTCTGAGATCTTGTGTGTTTATTTCACAGTTATTTGTCAATGCAAAAAGGAAATAAGTCTACAAAAAGGAAGGGAAATTAAGGGACTTAGGGACATCTATAGATCCTAAAGCAGTTTGGGAATTTGTATCAGCAGAATAATGAATGTGGCAGACTTTGTTAGTCTATTTTTTAACATCAGGATTAGGTGGCATGCCCTCCCAGGCCAACCTGCCCTTTCCCTTTGGAGCATTCCTCACACCAACAATTCATGCTTCAGGACCATGAACTCCTGAGGACAAAGACCACAACTGTTTTGTCTACTGCAGAATCTCCAGACCCAGCCCAGTACCTGGTGCCTCCAGTAATACTTCCCGGTGGAACGAATGAGTGCAGCCCTGCTACTTACTCAGGCTGATCCTCAAGAGACATGCTCTCTATCCATCCCATCCACCCGGTGCCTAAATTCTACTCTAGGATCAAGCTTCACCACATAACATGTTTAACTCCATTAGCTTGATCCCTAATGGAGTCACCTTCCCAGAGTTGCACTATAATATTATAACCTTGCCCTTTTCCCAAAACTATTACGGAAAATAGCCATGTGGAATTGGCTTTGGCATTTGCTAACAAATTAAGTCCACCCTATCATTTATATGAGGTTCCACAACAAAATTTACTCTGAGAATTTACTGTCAAGGGGAAAAAGTCCTTTCCCCTAAAGAACCGGCATGCCTCTTCCTTTCTGATAATATGACTGTTAGCACTTATAACTTCCCCATTTTGTTTTGACTACCAGATAGTGATAAATGCATACAAAAAATAAGCAATTACTAATTTCTGGGAAAACAAAAAGCTATTCACAACAAGGAAAAACTAGCAGTGGTAAACTATATGGCTCAGCTGTGCAAGTGCTTACATGACTGTAATGACATATACGTTGAATTTAGCTATCAAAACTATGAATAACTGTCTAAGTGCAGTGGCTCACATCTGTATTCCTAGCACTTTGGGAGGCCAGGAGTTCTAGAGCAGCCTGGGCAACAATGAGACCCATCTCTACAAAAAATTAGCTGGGTGTGGTGGCGTGCGCATGTAGTCCCAGCAACTCGGAGTGTGACGCAGGAGGATCACTTGAGCCCAGAAGTTTGAGGTTACAGTGAGCTGTGATGATGCCACTGCACTCTAGCCAGGGCAACAGAATGAGACTGTCTCAAAAACAAAAATCAAAACAAAAAAAAAAATCCCCCAAAACTATAAATAACTATATTGAAAGGATGGAGGGCAAGATGTGGGTATCTATGTGTGGAGAATGGGGTATGTGTGAAACAGAACAAAATCTTTATCTTCTATATATTAGGAAATTAACAAATATTACCTAAAATTCGAAAATCAAGAAGTAGCAAAATACATTATTTAGAAATATCAAGATACTTACCAAAAGAATCAGTTAAAAAGATTAAAATTTGTTGCCACCAGAGAACAAGAAAAGAAAGAAAGGAGTGGGTAGCTGCAGAGTAAGACTGCAATTAGTATTTAATATTTAATATCCTATTTAATATTCACCAGAATTCATATTTTACTAATGAGAAAACAGAGGCTTATAGATACTAAGGAATCAAGATCACATAGCTAGTCAGTGGTCAAGCTGAGATTTTAATGCAGGTTTACTGAAATGCAAAGCTCACGATCTTTCCACTACATTATGCATCTTCTCTTATTCTCCTGTATTAAGGAAACTAGTGATATAAAGGAAGAAAGCCTAGAGCCATAATGTCTCATAAAGGATCACATGATATAAAGAAAGAAAGAAATGTGGCAACGATGAATGAAGAAAAATGAAGGACAATGTTTAAAACCATTCATAAAACTAGGGTTCTATGAATAATTTAACTGCGTGAACTCAACCCCTCTGTGGATCTTTCTTTTGTCTTTTCTTTGTTCTTTGTTCTTTTCCTTTCTTTCTTTCTTCAAGCTAAGTTCACAATTATAAAAGTGAGCCTTGGATGAAAGCCTACCAAGCATCCGACACCTCTATGCAAAGCTGGGATAAGCCTTTGGAAGCACCACTTCCAAGAGGAGAGCAGAGTCGCTGGGTCCCAGGGCAAGGTTAAACTCAGAAAGGCATTTAACTCCGTGCAGTGCAAAGCTTTACAACTAAGGATCAGTCAGGGGACCTCAGAGCTGGGTGGGGAAACGATATTGCAAGTGGGGCAGAAGGGGAGTAAGTGCTGAGACAAAGTCAGGGCGAGGAAAGTATAGGTGAGTGGTTCAGAGCCAAATGGAAGATTTCTGACTGAGGGAGCTCCCCCACCCCATGCTACACCCTGCAAGGCTGGTCTGTCCCTGGTGGGGCAGTCCCGGCCGCAGACACTGGCTGCACCCCCAGCTGGGGCTTCCCCCTCACCGTCAGAGGCAGAAGCTCTGCACAAGCACAGCCTCCTGCGTCTTGGCCAAATGAGGCCCAAGTCAATCTAAAGAGTGGGTCATTCTGAAAGGAAACGGGCAAAACAGAGAGAGGATATACCCTGGGCACCTTTGAAAATGCCACATGAAACAGGTTTAAGGTAATCAACACATGTTGGTACGAGTTCAGGAAGCACACACGTCAATAATCAACATTTGGCTACATGTAACTGAGGCCCAACCACAGTGGCTTAACAGGAGGGTTTGTTCTTCCCATGTCACAGGTGTTTTCAGTGACTTCCGAGACCAAAGCCCCTTCTGCCTTTTGGAAGGTGGTGACTGTAGTGCACATTCCAGACCAGAAGACGGAGGAAGGCGAAGGATAAAAGGAACATGGCCTCTCCGCCAGGAAGACAGTCGCTTTCCCAGAAGTCCCACCCAACAGACTTCTGCTGACCCACACTGGCCACCGTAGCTCCAAAGGCCCCCGGGAAATTGAGTGTTAGGTGGGCACTTTGCGATCCCTAACAAAACCAGGCTTCTGTCAGTCAGGAAGGAGGGGGATGGACAGAGTTGTCTGCCACAGTCTGCAAAGAGTCCAGCGTCTGTTCAACCAGTGACAAGAAGATGAGTGATGTGTTTTGGAAAGCACAGCATGAAAAGTAACAAAAAGACCAAAACAGAGCAAGGCCAAATCTGTCCCAGACTGTAAGGTCATGCTGACCTTTTGGGGAGAAGAGGATGTTCAGACAGGACATGGTACTGCAAGGCAAATGCAAAAACATCAAAGTACCGTTGTACAATCCTGCAGAGGTGGCTACGCCCACCTAAGTATGGCACACGGCTTGCCCTTCACGGGTACTCCTGCGGCATTTCACATGTCGCTTCCTTCCATCCTCATATACTCCACGAGACACACAGAGGAGGAAAAGTGAAGGCCAGGGAGACTAGGTAACTGACACAGGACACACACCAGTATGAAGCAGAGACAGGAGAGATGGGATTTGTCATGCACCCAAGCTGTGACCTCTCCACCTTTCTTCTTGTCCAGTTCCATCTCCGGGATCCTGGACACTGGCCCGAGCCCACGCATGAGCCTCTGTCTCTGCTCTGCTCAACCCATAGCGCCAGATGCCTAGACAGACAGAGCTTCAGATCACAGCCACCCCACAGTGTGGCCCCACTGGCCCACACTGTGACCTTGGCTCTGTCCTCAAGAGTCACAGGGACTTCCCCTCCACCTGTCATGCCGCCCAGCCTTGCGGCTGTGATCTCTAATTGACATGCTCAACCTGTTCAGTGTCACAACCTGGCCCTGAGCAGCCCCAGCCCCCGCCCTGCAGACCCTGCAACAAGCTCTTTCCTCTGTGGGCTTCACCAGGCCTTATCGATAACGTCCAACTTGCCTTCTGCAAATCACACCTGCTACTGAGAGGAGGGAGAGATAAAGAGGTGAATTTCATATTTAGGTGTTTAATAATTTCAGTATTAGAAGTGCAAATTTCTACTGGCAACATTTACGGGTCAGGGTGTGTGAGTGTGCGTACGTGTGTGCGATTCTTCAAACATAATAAATTGTTATCCCTTTCCTGCGAACAGAGTTCTTGGGCTGAGCCTGTATAAGCCCTCAGAAAAGACCTGCCCCACTACGTATCCCAGGGTACCATCCACCCTGAGAGAAGTCTCCATTCTGCACCGGGAGCTTGCACCAATCTAGACGGGAGAGACAGTAGTAACTGACAGCGACCTACACGGCTGCGGAGCAGAGCCAGCCCAGGGCAGAGGAGCCGCTAAGACCTCCTGTGGCCAGTCTGTGAGTCTGCGATCACACAGACGGAAAACACCAGGCTGTTCGTAGGTCCTCCTGCCTTCCTGGTTTCAGCTTGAATCACAGCATTAGGACTTCTGCTGAGGAGACCAGGCATCTATCCGAACACACCTCAGAGCCTAAGAAGGCCGGTAAGAACTCTGCAGACCTCTGAGTTGAGGACAGGATGCCCATTTATTGTATCCAAGGAAAAACACATGTCACAGAAGCCTACACGTGCACTGATGCTCCAATCGACAGGTCTTTGTGGACCATCCGCCATGGCACCCCAAGACCAACAGCAATTAGTTTCCAAAATAAAAGTAGCATCAAAACACAGAACCCACTGTACATGATTGTTTTCTAACCAGAAGATGTCAGACAAGGCGTGCAGGCTTGATGGCAGGCATTTCAGGAATTCTGGTAAAATGTGCTGAGAACAAGAAAAACGTCGTTTCACGCCTGCGCAAAGGGGAAGGGAGGGAACAGAACTGGGTCCTCACTCTGTAACAGGCATGGAACATATGGCCGAGCACTCAGTCCACCCAAGCACCGCAGTGACACTGGAGTGAAAAACACCACCCCGGAGTCCACCCGGCCACACGCTGCAGAACGAGGGCCTCCCCAGGCCTGTCTGCCTGCGTCACCCTGCGCCGGCGTCATCCGGGTGTGCGTCATCCTGTGCGTGCGTCATCCTGTGCGCGCGTCCCCCTGTGCATGCGTCATCCTGTGCGCCTTCAGAGTGCCGTTTTATCAGACTGAGGGGATTTGTTTGTGGACCTGCACTTCCTCAGGCAGGCGCTGGACGCCATCTATCAGGGCTGTGAGAACCATGTGTTCAACGGCCGTCCCCTTCAAAGCAGAAAGCTCCAGGAGGGCAGGAACCATGAATTCTGGGTTCCTGCTGTGAGCCCAGTGCCCAGGGCGGGGGCTGGCACAAAAAGCAGCCCGAGTCCCAGTCAGCAGCTGTGATGGAGCCAGTAGAATGGGACTTCCTCAGCCTCTCTCAAATGGAGAGGCTTAAAAAGCATCAGCTGCAAAAAGCCTCCACTTTAATTGCCATCGTGGGACTCATTCATACTTGAAATTAATGTTAAAACATAAAAAAAAAGTACTTGAAAATTGCATGATGCAAATAACAAGCAGAAATGTGCAAGACCCCTAGAATGTACCTGGGGGGTGATCTGTACTCCTCCTCCTCTCCCCAGGCACAAAGTAGGGACTTACTGCATACAACTCCATATTTTAAATTTAAAGGGCCCAGAAGATTAATGACACCCTGAGAGAGAAAACCAGAGATCACAATGTGCAGATCACAATGTTCACTTTAGGGCAGCGGTCCCCACCTTTTTGGCACCAGGGATTGGTTTCATGGAAGACAATTTTTCTACCAACTGGGGTTGGGGGAGTGCGGTTCAGGATGATTTAAGTGCATAACATCCATTATGCAGTCAAACCTCTCTGCTAATGATGATCTGTATTTGCAGCCACTCCCCAGCGCTAGCATCACCCCTCAGCTCCACCTCAGATCGTCAGGCATTAGATTCTCATAAGGAGAGTGCAACCTAGATCCCTCACATGCACAGTTTACAGTAGGGGTCACGCTCCTATGAGAATCTAATGCCACCGCTGATCTGACAGGAGGCAGCACTTATGGTGATGCGAGCCATAGGGAGCAGCTGTAAATACAGATGAAGCTTTGCTCACTGGCCCGCTGCTCACCTCCTGCTGTGCGGCTGGGTTCCTAACAGACCACAGACTGATACCAGTCCCTGGCCTGGGCCTGGGGACCCCACCAGGCATCTGGGAGAACAGTGCCTGATGCAATGGAGTGTATTGTACGAAGACGAACTCCATCAGTGCCACACAGAACATTCTTTTGTGGCAATAACTACAATGTAGCAAAAACTAGTCTGGAACACTTATAAACATGGCACAAAGTAGCAAACAAGAAATGGTACATGTTATTGGCATCTAATAAGATTTTCAAGTAGATTTATTTACATGTTACCATTAATTTTCAATCTGAAAGAGTTCCTTGCTGACAGAGTAGAGGGTTTTGTAGCTGATTTTTTGAGCCTCAGCATTTAACAGAGAACCCTGGCTGGGGTTAAGGAATATGAGATGAGCAGAAGTGAAATAGCTGAGTTTGTAGCAAGGGAGCTTTTCAAATCAAGGGAAGCTGCAAACAGGGATGTCTGCATGGGACACAAATTGTTTTACTCTTTAAAATTTTAGGGACTCACATATTCCAATCTTTTTCACCTTGAATATAGATCACTTCTGCTCTAAGAAAAGAGACTGGCATCGGTTCACCCCCACTGGGTAGGCATTGGGTCTCCCCTTGCGCCCAGCACCCGGTTCAGTTGCTGCATGGACAATGCCGATTCTGCAGCCCAGCACAGAAGAGCCAGGCATTAGCCTGCCGCATATGAAACCCAGATGCCCCACCTGCTAACTGCGTGACCTTGAAAAAGTAACTTGATCTCTCTATACCTCAGTTTCTCCATCTGTAAAGTGAAGATAATAATAGTACCCACCTTTTGGTAAGCAGGATAACAGTCCCCTAGGAAAGCCATGCCCTAATCCCCAGAATCCACAGATTCTGTTACTTTATGCAGGAAATGGCACTTTGCAGATGTGGTTAAGGCTATGGACTTTGAGATGGGGAGATAATTCTGCATAATCCAGTGGGTCTCATCTAATCAGGAGTCCTTAAAAAGGGAGAGACTTTGCCTTCTATAGTCAGAGTGAGAGAGAGGAGACAAGAAGAAGGAAGAGGAAAGGGAGGTGGGAGGGAAGAGGAATTCAAAACATGAGAGGGACCTGACCCACCGTGCTGGCTTTGAAGATAGAGGAAGGGGAGCTGAGCCAAGAAGTGTGGGCAGCCTCCAGCAGCTAGGAGTGGCTCCGGCTGACAGCCGACAAGGAACTAGATTATGCCAACAACACAGGAGATCAAGGACAGAGATGACCCCCCTGAGCCACCGGAAGGAAATGTAGCCTTCCGGACGCCTCAATTTTAGCCCAGTGAGCCTAAGGCCAAAAACTTCTGGTCTCCAGAATTGTAAGACAATAAATGTGTGCTGTTTTAAGCCACTAAATTTGTGGCAATTTGTTACAACAGCAATAGGAACTAATGTTCTATCTCAAAGGGTTGTTGTGAAGATGAAATGAGTTTAATCTACAAAGCTTACAACAGGACTTGGCATATAAGAAGTACTTCATTATTTAATTTTTCAATGGTGAACAAGATAAGTACAGTTCATATTCACTTCAGTTTGGGAAGGGCGCTAAACAACTGTAGTCATAAAACGTGGAGTAGCTAAGAAGGGAAAATACAGGACAATCGTGTAGGGGGGCAGGCTCGCTAACTTCCCAGAGACTCTCTGAGATGGTGGTTTCCTATGTTCAAAATGCTTTCCTTCAACATCCAACAAACAATGCATCGGAATAGCTCTTATTACAAACGGTATATAGGTAACTATGTCTATCCAAATTTTATTAAACTACTAATACAATTAAAAGAGAAAACGATTGGTGCCTTTCCGTCAAAACTTTTGGGAAGATCTCTGTCAAAAAGAAATATAAGACTTGCAAGGGTATTTTTTTCATCCAAAAGGCACATGTTTATATTTTATGCATACGTTTTTTCCCCCATTTCGCTCTATTCACTTATTAGACCTGAATGAGTTGCCCAAGTCCTGCTCAAACTGATAACCAAAATGTCATCAGAGTCAGGTAAGTTGCTTTAGCAGGCTCTGGCCTGGGCTGAAGGCCAGGCTGCCAAAGGCATCCAGAGGCCAGCACTGGATATAATAAAGGTCTGTATTAATTAGGGCCACGGTCTCCCCTCATCCCTCCCCTACTGCGGCAGCAGCCACGACTGGCTCCATGGCCTGACCCTGGGTTGCTGGAACTCTTAAACCCAGTATCTGAAACACGATGAGAAGCCCAGAGAGAAGCAAAGAGCAACTTTTCCCTCCTGAAAACATCATCACATTACCCAGACAGCCCAAATTTACCTTAAAATGAGTGTGACTTTCTCCTCTAGACTAAATTTTTTAAATGTGTTCATTTTCAATTTTCAATGATTGTAATGTTATGAATTCCCACCAAACAGATCTTCACACCCCTCCTGACCTTGACATCAGACACCGGTCTGGGAAGAGGCCGCTGTTTTCTCAGCAGCTTGTCCACCCCACTGCAGGTGACAGAAGAGAACTATCACTGCGATCAAATATGCATGTAGAGCTTGGTTAAGACTTGCTAGGTCCTTTTCTCCTTTGCTCTTGAAGGAAGAGCACTACACCACCCTCTCTAGGAAAACGCCCACGGGCAAGGTGGGAGAGAACGCACAGTCCTCAGAGCCACTCTCTGGCCCTGGGGAAGTTACCAGCATCTTCCAATTACTTCTAAATGTGTCACTCCTGGTTGTTAAATGTAACAGAAACGAGAATTACATTAGCACATTTAAAACAAAAGATCCTAAGTCTGGCCTGGAGTAAGACTAAGATATAAAAAAAGATGGGAATGTGAGAAAATTCCTTGGAACAATGACAGCTGCCGGAAGCCAACTTACAATGGGCAATGATACAATACTAAGCGCTTGGCTTCACTCTTCAATAACTGAGCGGGTAAGGAAGTGCCTACCATTATTGCCTTTCTACAGATAAAGAAACAGGCTGGCCACACAGACAGGAAATCATAGAGGAATCAAAGGTTCAGTTGACTCCCAGCTTTGGCACACCTGCTACAACCCTCAATAAATAGAAACAACTCACAGAATGGGAATGTCAAGGAACATTCATTTCAAAAGGCCTATTTTCCAAATGCCTGAAAGGTTCAAATAAAATGCTATGACAGACATTTTGTAAGGGTTTTCAGAGAGTCATGACCTTTTTGAGATTTACAAAATGAGAAGCAAGTGGGAAAATATTTGCAAACATAAAAAAGAAGTTTTGGAAAGAGTGACTCACCCACTGAACAACATTAGATATGACTTATACCAGAAAAAAATTGTTAATGCATAGATTTTTAATAATTAAGAGGGTGTCATGGGGAAAGAATAGACTTTAAAATGGACTAGCAACTATGCTATCATGCCTCACCAAGGCACAGCAAAGGATTCCTTGTTGTTCTACGAGCACACGCTGCCTTGGTTTGACAAGTGATATGTGTGACCATAGCCTTGGGGTTCCCAGGGGGCAGAGTGGCCCCTGCTGGGAGTGGCAGAGGGTCCACCACCCGCTGAGCATGTTTACTGGGCATCTGTAGTAACTTACCACCCTGAGGAAAGCACCATCGGGATTGTTCTCCAAGTGGGTCACCAGGGCTACAAAACTCACCAGGGCTACTCACATTGGAGATTAACATTAGACCTCGGATTTGTCTAAGTCCCAAGCTCAAACCCACTCCCTGGGAAAAACTGCCAAGAGGAGCAACAGGTGGCTAGTCCTGAAAGATGAGTGTCAGAGCAAAGTGGCAGAGGTGTGGCAGACCCAGGGTACTGAGGGGGACAGGATGCCACGGCCATAGGAACCACAGGAGCTACAGGAGGCTGGAGAGAGACTAGACAAGCCCTGGAAGGCAGTTCTCGGATCCATGTGCTGTCTACTCTGA